TTGTCTGAAATGTCCTTCCAACCTGGTCGGGCTCCTCTTTCTTTCCATTCCAGAATAGGACCAGTTTCTTGATCTTTTAACTGCTCTTCTCTTAATGTCTCTCTTGTCCAATCGTCAGGAACATCAATTTTAACGGTGTTTACAATTATTATCCCTTGTTGTTTTTCTACCCGGTGGCAGTGCTTGCAGTCTTCCCGACAGGGTCTTCTGGAGAGAGCGTCTGCATTTCTATGGGATTTTCCAGGACGATGTTCGATTTTAAAATCGTATTGCTGCAGTTTTTCTATCCAACGAGCTAGTTGGCCTTCCGGAGTCTTCAATTGTAATAACCACTTTAATGCAGCATGGTCGGTCCGAACTTTAAAATGTTGTCCATATAGGTATTTGTGAAAATGGTCTATGGACTTGACAATGGCCAATAGTTCCTTCCGTGTCACACAATAGTTACGTTCTGGCTTCGACAACGTCTTGCTGAAGTATTCAATTACTTTTTCCTGTCAATTTTGAATTTGGGAAAGAACACATCCAAGTCCAGAATTACTGGCATCTGTGTCTAATACGTAGAGGCCTTTCCGTTCTGGGTATGAAAGAACCGGACTCGAACACAGTGCTGATTTTAGTGTTCTAAATGATGTTTCGCACTCTTGTGTCCATTGGTACTGAACCTTCTCTTCTGTAAGCCGGTGTAGTGGCTTCGCAATATCAGCAAATCGTTCCACAAATCGTCTGTAATAAGTGCATAGACCAAGGAAGCTTCGTACTTCGTGAACATTTGAAGGCCTCGGCCAATCTCGTACTGAGGAAATCTTGTCTGGGTCTTTTCTTATCCCCTCCGAAGACACGACATGTCCTAGGAATTTTACCTCTTTCTGGAACATTAGGCACTTTTTGGGATTCAATTTCAGGTGTGCATTTTTAATTCTTCCAAACACTTCTTGAAGGTTCTTCAAATGCTCTTTAAAAATCTCGTCCCATAACCATCACATCATCAAGATAAACTAGACATGTCTTCCAAGTTAGTCCTCGTAGTACCAGTTCCATCAGTCTTTCAAAAGTCGCTGGCGCATTGCACAGGCCGAAAGGCATCACAGTGAATTGATAAAGGCCACTTCCTGTCGAAAAGGCTGTCTTGTCTTTGTCATCTGGATGAAGTCCCACTTGCCAATATCCACTTCGAAGATCTAGAGTGGAAAACCACTGTGAACCAGCCAGCGTACTTAGTGTGTCATCAATTCGGGGTAGCGGATAGCTGTCTTTTCGTGTGACGTCATTCAGCTTCCTGTAGTCGACACAGAATCTTAAAGTTCCATCTTTCTTAGCAACCAAAACTACTGGCGACGACCAAGGACTGGTTGATTCCTCAATAACTCCGTCTTTAAGCATCTTCTGTATCATTGCAGAAGCCTCTTCTTGTTTTGATAATGGGAGCCTCCTAGGTGGTTGACGAATAGGAGTTGATTCACCAGTATTTATCCGATGTTGCACTATGTTGGTCTTTGTAAGAGCTTCTGTGTCCTTTGCAAATACTGTACTTTCCTTCTTCAAGAATTTTAAAGCTTCTCTATGTTCATCTGGAGTTAAATGTTCTAAGTGGGCATTTAACATCCTTACAACTTCTTGGTCCATATCTGTAGGCGAAGCTCCAATGATTTGTTCTTCACATCTCGCAATCCATGTGACTGGTTCATAGGTGCCAATTGCTTCGCCTTCTTTGAACGTCACTGAGTGTGAATTTAGGTTAACCACTCTAATCGGTATATTGTCTGTAGTCTGTGTTAAAGTCCTTGCCAAGATCACATTGTCTGTCATTTTAATTGAGTCGTCCCTCTCAACGAGGCCAAAGCGGTATCCCACAGAATTTTCCTCCAGGACGGCCTCAATTACTTTCTCTGTTCGTGCAGGAATTTTTACTGTCCTCGAAGTTAGTAGCCTGATATTATGGAGTTTTTCATCTGCCGTTGAAAGAATAATTTCTTCATTTCCAATCCTGAGAACTCGTTCTCCAACGTCAAGTACAAATCCATATTTTTCCATAACGTCTAATCCTAATATGAAGTCATCTGTAATGTCAGCTACGATAACTTGGTGTTTAAAACATAAGCGGCCAATTTGCAGCTCCATGTTTACTTCCCCATGAACCGCCGCCCTATCTCCCGTAGCTGTCCGGATGACTAATCCATTCTGCTCTTTATTTACTTTGATACCCGTTATGAATCCTGCCTGTACTATTGATGATGTAGCTCCTGTGTCGATTGTGAACACACTTTTCTTCTTATTTACATAACCCTCCAACAACAGACTACTTTGAACTCTCCGAAGTTGGGAAACTTTTATTTCTCGGGGGTCACAACATTTCTTGGCCAGCGCAGCCCCCAAATTGCCAGCCATCTTTAGTTTTCCTGAGGCTCCTCAACCACAGCAGCATTTACCCTTTCTGGGCTGCGTTGACGACAGTTCCTCTTGATATGGCCCACTTTGCCACACCTATAACAACGGATGCCTCCATTCGGCCTCCCACTACTTTGTTGTTGGTCTTGTTTCTGCTGGGAGTTCGATTTTGTCAGTAATTGAGTCATCATCTTGTGTAGATCAGATATCAGATTCTGTGTTGTGTTGTCTGGCTTGTCTTCCTCCACACTCACAGCTCGTACTCTCTGATTTGATTGTGTGGTATCCTTATAGGCAGCCTCAATCTCCAGTGCATGTACTAAAGCCTCACTACTAAGCTTATGCCTGGCCAACTTAAGAATTCGCCTAACTTCCTGGTCCCTTACTCCATCAATAAATGTACCAACTGCTAACTGTTGTTGAAATTCCATTGGTGCATCAGGATAGGCTAGATGGGCTAATCTTTCTACCGCAGCTTCGAACTCCTGGAGGCTTTCTCCACCTCGTTGTCTACGTGATTTGAGCTGAGCCTGATATACTTGGGCGAGATGTTGGTCGCCATATCTTAGTTCTAACGCTGCCTCCAAAATACTAAAGTTTTGTTGCTGTGCGGCAGGAATTGTTTGGAGCAGGTCTAACGCTTGGCCCCTTAGTGCTAATACCAATGCTGTTGCCTTTTCCTCATCGTTCCAGTTATTTGAACGTGCAGCTGCCTCAAACTGTCTCTTATAAGTTGACCATGAACTTTGACCGTCGAAGGAAGGTGGTTGTAACCTAGCACCAGACGACAGTACTAATTGGCCACCCTTCTCTCTTAATTGTTGTTTGAGTCGGGCTACTTCTTCCTTAACTTCAGTTATTTCTCCTCTAACTTCACTAACTTCTTCTTTAACTTCCATGACTTCAGCCTGTACATCTTCCTTCAATTGTTCAGTGACTGAGAGCATGACTTGATGTTGTCCCTCCATAATTTGTCTCAATTCTTCCTGGCGTCTTATTTCCAGGCCTTCCATCATTTTTATCAAGTCTTCTTTTTCTTCCTGACGTTTTCTCTCTTGATCTTCTTTTTCTTCCTGTCGTCTTCTCTCTTGATCTTCCATAATTTTTCTCTGTTCGTCTTTCTCTTCTTGTCGTCTTCTCTCTTGTTCTTCTTTGTCTTCCTGTCGTCTTCTTTCTTGATTTTCCATAATCTTTCTTAATTCTTCCTGGCGTTCTCTTTTCTGTTCTTCCATTTGTTGCACCAATGTTGCAAGTAAGTCTTGTGTTTGTTTCTCCGCCATGCTTCTTGTTGTTGGCATTAAGTCACGACACGTAAATCAGTTCAAAATAAAGTTTATTACACTATAAAATCCGTAAAATGTTGATATCACGTCTATTTTAATAATGGATTGTTCCAGAAAAATCTCGAAACAGCACTAGAAAGTCTTATTTAGAGTCTATACTTCTTTTGTGTTGACAAAATTCACTTATCTCCACTAATTGTGCAATGGAATGTTCGAGAATTTTCACGAAATATCACTAATAAGTCTTGTTTTGAGTCTATAACACGTTCCCGTTAACACAGTTTACGTTTCTTCTGTGGTTTCCAAATCGAATGTTCTAGAATTGTCACTAAAAATCACTTATAGTCTTGTTTTCAAGTCTACAACACGTTCCCGTCGACACAATTCACGTATCTCCTGTTGTTTGCAAATAGAATGTTCTAGAATTTTCCCGAAATTGCACTAATAGTCCTTTTTCCCAGTCCACGACACGTTATAACTAGCGGCACTCGCGTATTTGCAGCTATTTCTAAATCGAATGTTCTAGAAACTTCTCGAAAATCCACTTCAAATTCACTATTCAGTCTAGAAATAGTCCTCAAACACTGTCCAGTAGTTTAAATCTTCGTGTTACCACTAATTTCTGAGAAGAACACTGTAGAACCTTTTCGAATATTCCAGAAATTTCTCTTCCAATCCCACTTCTGACACCAAATTGTTACGTGTTTGCTATCCACACAAACACCTCTGCTCGTAGATTCGTCGATTGAAAGTCCAGGTAACACTTATTCACTACTTTATTTACTAATTAACAATTAATAACAATAGATTAATTACTGTCTTAACTATAATCACACTAGAACACTTATAAGTCTCTTTCTTATTGCTTCTTTACTCGTTCACGTTCAACTTAAGATTAAATCTCGGCCCACCGTGCGTCTTATTTATACATCCATTCTCCCGGTCTAGAGTACTCCAGAATATTCCCGGCCGTTCGTGTACAATTCCAGCCTAATCTAACCAGTCTGCACAGTCCAGTGGCGTAACACTGCGTTATATTAAATCGTAACATTTATAAATAGAGACACGTATAACTAACTAGAATACATGTCCAATTGTCCAATATGTTATACATCAATATAATAAAAGAAATCTAATCCGGTGGTTAAAAATATTAGGGTAATCGTTTAATATTTTTTTGTTAACATGACAAGAAACCCTAGGTACAGTTCAACACAGAATTTAAGAAATAAAAATATCGGCTCAGTGCTTACACATTAGGCTCGAGACCAAGAAATCCCTGATTCGAATCCTGGCTAGGGCATGGAAGTAGAGTGGCGTTTTTAATATACCGAGACGGTAGCACAGTTGGCGAGAGCGTTGTTGTGTGGTACAACACGACTAGTCACTATCTATCTCGCCTGAGTTCGAGTCTCAGCTGCGGCATCTGGCAAATGTCTGAGGAATGGTTGTTATGTGTGTGTGTGTATCTGTGTGTGTGCGTGTGTATGTGTGTGCGTGTGTGCATGTGGGCGTACGTGCGTGTGTGTGTCCTGGTTGAGTGGTGGAAAAGCAATGCCCATGCTAGACTCCACCATGATGTTGATAAGACGATAAAGAAAAGAAAATCGAGCTCTTTGACAGGGAAAGGACAATAGACTTATTATTACAAATCCGCTTGGGCTATTTATCTATTTCCCTTTTCTATGCGAAATATCGGCAAGGAAATAGATAAATAGCCTGAAACTCCTTTGTTACAATTGACTTTTGGTGACAATCAAGTTAAATTTATTGCTCCGTTCTATCGTTTCTTATATCTTGGACTATACAAGTTTTATTTAAAATACCAGGTGGGACAAAAAAAATCATTCTGTTTTGAAGCTCATAACACATCGAAGATATTGATCGACTTCAAATTTAAAGGATTTATAAACAAATGATCAAAAATACAGTACGGAATTTCAGGTTTCAAAGAATTAACAGAGAAGCTGTATACAGGTTTGAAAAAAATTATTGCAAATTTTAGTTTGATTACATTGTTCATTTGAAAATGTGGGTCCTCCATATTGCAAATAAACTGTTTTTAATCTGTTTGAATTGAAAAATAGCATTTCTTATTAATCGAATATTTATTTCTGGTCATACTTCCCCAATTGCTTCATATAATTCCCTAAGTAAATGGCTGTCTTTGAAAATAAACTTTTCGTGTCAAGTATTTCAAATCGATTAATTCAGTGAATTTAGATCAGATAAATTTCGTTGGCCGTCCTAAACGAGGACTCCTAAACAGTTTTAAAGTCATGGAACTCTTATTTCATGATGATTCTTCAAAGCGTATGGAATTGGTGGCTTAATCATTTTTCTTTATACGCAAAAATGATTAGGCGGCCAATTCCATACGCTTTGAAGAACCATCATGAAATTCTATAGCGACATTGGCGGCATAAAGACCTTTAATTTGATGTGCAACACACCCCTGTATCACGCTCTAAGAGAATCCAATATGGCGACTAGGCGTCATTTTGATATATCGATAATCGAGTTTACGTTCAAAAAGTACTTTATCTGCCTGGAAATATTGCATCTAAATTTCAATAAAAAATTCCAAACGGCTCTAAAAATAGCAGGGGGAGAGCTTTAGGACCTCACTGTATACATGAATGACATCAGCAAATGCTTTACTTTCTGTAAATTTCTTTTATGTGCTGACAATCTGAAAATGTACTTGGAGATCACAACCCAAGGAACTGTTTTCTGGTTTAGCGTGACTTGGATAGGTTTTATAAATACTGCGAAAAAAATAGACTTAATAAATCTACAGAAATGCTATTCCACAATTTTTATTAAAAATAGAGCCCCCGCGCACTAGCAGTCAAGTCGCGGCGACCAGGCCGACAGTTTATAGAATATATTGAGTTTTCTGTCACGCCGCGCACTAGTAGCGGCCAAAATAAATAAAAAATCCTTTGTCGGAAATTCACTCACAATTCATTTTTCACACCAGTTTTTTCAACAAAACGTATCTGATAATAATGATCAAATCAGGTCAAATAGGTATACAACAAGGTATACAGATTGAAGCCAGATCACTAGATACACGCCTAGAGGTATGCGCAGTTTACAGTCGACCGTCTATTGCTAGCATGATAGGAAAATCGCAGCGCTCATGTCGATGTGATACTGAAATCTGCTAGTCTGTTATTTGCTCCTATCAGTGTTCTGGCAAGCACCTTGACTCTAATGCACAATCGTTAACTTTCGTTTAGACTTTGGTATTCAGTCAGCCGGCCACTCGTAGTTTACACTAATTTTTAACAGGTTTCTAATAGTACGATTTGTACTGTATACGCAAAAAGAACTATAACAATTGTCAAATAAAACTTTTGTGATATTATTTAGTCATGGTCCATCACGTAAAATATTCGTTTCCTGGAATTTTAAGGTCAAAAAACCTGTTTACGTTCATGTTCAAGTTTGTAGTAGGTTGCTCTACTATTTTTTAGAATAAGAACTTTTCAGTAGTTGAGTTTTATTTATAAACCCTCCAAATTTGAAATCAAAATCTTCGATTAGTCGAAAATTACAAGTTATAAGCTTCTAAACAGAATGTGGTTTTTGCCCCACCCAGTATACATATTGAAATAATTAAAATTACCTTGAATATCACAATCACTTGTCATTTTCTAAAACTTAACGCCAATGACATTTTTTTTTTCGTCTTTATTTAATCAAGTTTCATTGATATACTATTTTATTTCCGGAGAAAAGTGTGGACAAAAACACGTAACTTTAACATTCAGTATATTGAAAACGGTTGATATTTTGACATATGCAAATATTTCTACTTCTATCAATTCTTGAAATTTTACTTTTATATTAATAATTACACGTTTTGACTCCAATTTTAAAATGTTTAAATCATTCTTTTAAATGTTGCTATTGATTTATATTAAAATAAGTTAGCAGAGAAGAGAAATAAAACTAACCGCCTCCCTAATCGCTGAAGTATTTTTTTTTACTTAAAATTTAAAATTGTGGGTCAACTATTACGATTTTAGCAACCCTCAGGTTGGCTTCCTGGAGTAAATTTGTGAAAACGTCCAGTGCATTTTCCAAGTCATTAATATTAATATTGATTTCAAATCGGTTATCAGTAGAGCCCAGATCTGAATATTGCATGACGATATTTTCTCACAAATATTGCACCATACCCTGTACCATAAAATTCTAACTCGGGGAAATCGTTTATCCCTTGTCTACAGTTTTTCAACAGAAAAATAGAAGCGATATTTTTAAAATGTTCCACGACAATATGCTCAATGTAATATTTGGATCCGGGGTCAAGTTATCAATGAATTGTCTAAAATTATGTCAAATTCCATTTTTATAAGAGATTACTATACGAGTAATCGCTGCCTATATCCTTCTCATTCTACGAGGATTCAGCAGAATAGGATTGTGATAGGACATGAATTCCTCTAGTGCTTCCGGCACGTCCTTGTTAATAACATGTTGAGGGTAGACGGGGTAGTACTGTTGTCTGAAAAGTGCGTTGGAGTGTTCCAATACTCAAGGGACACGTTGTTGTTGGCGTAGTCAAGCAGGATGTTGCCATTTGCGTTTTGCTGTCGTCCAACGTTATACGCACGTTATCAATATTCGTGTTCCATATCGAACAGTGAGTGTGTGTGCAATGTTAGATTTAATGAGTACTCCGCTACCTATATTATTGGCATCCTCTCATGCCAATTTGGTTTCATTTAGGAGCATACTATCATTCTTTTGCGTCATTAGACATCGATTAAAAATAGAATTTTGTTATCAATACCTTGACGTTCCAAGAAGCTACCAAAAATTTAGTAGACATTGCTTGAGATATCAATCGTGAATCGGTAGAATACTTCGACTCTTCCATTTCGGAAGTGCATTTAGAGAGTTTACTGTTTAAGATTTAACTCGATTTAACATAGGTAACATCAATGTTGTAGATAATTAACTTGCAAGGCCAAGAAACCTCCCTCAGCAGACGTGGATATGGATTATTAGCTGATCGAATCAGCAAAACTGGATATTGCCCGGGATTTTGCACATTCGAAAAATGTGCCCCACTGCTTTCGCTATTTCCTTGCTTAATGTTATATCATTCACACCCTGGTGTGAGAAGTTGAGGGCGGCCTTCTTGCCTCATCGCTTTGCTGGACAGATTGTCCTTGCATCGCTATTCTGCTAGTCTAACAAATGAAAATTGCCAGCTGATGTCGTGCTATGCACCTGATAATAGGATCTGTATTAACTGTGCTCGGCTGTGCTGGATTTGTTCAATTTTTTCTTATGTAAATTTTACAGTTAACACTATTAGGAGTATGGAATGGGGTCGGTTTATTTCCTCTGGCAGTTTTTGATTAGACGGTTTCGGGCACATTTTGGCAACTGGGTGTTACTTTATAATTAGGAGTTGCGTACCGCCACGCCAGGCAACGGCACTGAATTATTCTTTTATTATTCTAATATTCTGCCCATGTTGTCGTATACTCTACATTCTGTGTAATTTTAGAAGAGGTGATTACTAGGTACAATGGGAAACACGTACTTTTCAATTTAAATACATTTTTTACTGATATTTACGTATATCTTGTAATTCTTGTTATCTTGATAGAGTACCAAGGCATGGGTTTTCTCTGGGTTCAATGTATACGTGTGAAATTCAATATTTCCAGCATTAAATTATGCTATACATTTTCTCTAATCTTTTTAAACATCCCATTTACATCTGTTTTTTATTGTTGTCACATATTGTACTTCTCCAATATCATTATTATTTATGATAGGAGCGACAAAATTGTCTCTGTCTACATATTTGTTACTTTGGTATTTGTTATTTATTTTTATTTTACTCACAAACCCCTTGAATATTTAATAATGAAGTTAAAAAAAATAAAAATACTTTTAAAGAAATACAATTAAATAAAAAATAAAGTAAAATGTCTTTATTTCAAAAGCAAACCTTGTTTTACACTTAACCGTTTTCAAAAACTAGAAAAAATATGTACATTATAACTACCTACAATACATCATCATCACACCACATGTAATTACAGCCCCCTTTATCCCTGAAGGTCTGGAATGACTTTGTGCGGGAGAGGGTTACACATTGATAGACAACGGACACACATCCAATATCCGAGTATAATGGGATTAATTTCTCTTTCCGAAAAAATCCCAGTTCCTCGACCGGGAATCGAACCCGGGACCCGAGGTTTCGAGGCAAGTACGTTACCTCTAGACCACGGAGCCATATAACAAATAACTAAGTTTTATTTTTTTTTTCGGTTAATATATTAATACATCAATCAATTTATTGACCACTAAAAAAACTTAACTAAACAGAAAACCTTAAGACACATTTTTTTAATGAGGCGTATTTAAAAGTCTTGATTTTTTTATAT